TGTTGTCGTCAGGTGACAGATGTGTGTTTGAGTGGTAGCACTCAGAGACGCAATCCCATGTAAAGGGCGCAAAATAATTGCCAATTGTTGTTGACAGAGAGTGGTGATGGACAGAGGGATGCTCTGCACCATGCCTTGAGGCGCAGGAAATGCCTGTTACACAGACTAAGGGTAAGTGAGTGACCCGCATAGCACCCCTGGGGGCCTGGGCGGGGTCCAGAGTCATGGTCAGGGGTCACGATATCCCACCCTATGCTAACCCGGATTTCCTGTCTCAGGAGCAGCAGGCGATGGCGAGCCCGTGGCCTCACACATGGGGAGGGACCCGCCGACATTACCTGGAGCCCCTCCAGCAGCCGGCGCCGATCCACCTGTATCAGCCCATGCCAGCTGAGGCTCCACGTGTCATCCAGCACACAGTGAGTACTGCTCCACCCAACCCCTCCGTATCCCGCCCATGCCCACCCACCCACCCGGTCTCACTTCCGCACACACCCACACTGCTCCTCGCTGCCCCACCCACAGCCCCCCTCCCCACCCATCCTAACCTGTCCACCCCCACCCATACCTGCTCGATGCTGACATCTTTTTGTTCACAGCTCCCGCTGCAGCCAGCAGCCATCGTGCAGCAGCTCCCACAACCTCAGCCACTCATCACCCAGCTGCTGCCCCCCCACCCCCCCATCCGCTCCGGCAGCATCAAAGATGGTAAGCAGTCAACCAGATTTCAGCACCTGGCAGTCAGTGCAGTCAGTAGGTCAGTGAGTATGTGCATCAGTCAAGGCGGTCAATTGGCTGGAGAGTGCCACATCTCATAACATCACCCGCTGTTTGACACCCGCAGAAATCCATTCACTTTGTTCGTAAGTCTTGAAACCAAACTGAGAATTCCGTACATCGCATTAACACCGTATTTTGGAATGAAATGCGCCCTCTCTCCCTGGAGGGACACATCCTGCTTTCTCTAATTCCAGAGAGTATTAGGTGCAGGTTGGCAAGAGCCAAGGCTTGGGGACCCCAGAGTGGGTAACTGCTGGAATCTAACCAGCTAAACCTGCATAGCTTGCCCTTGAGAGCACTGTCTGGCAAGCTTGCTTGCTGCTTGTTCAGCTCGGACCATCCTACCCATTAGGGCTTTGGCTTAATGGGAGCTGACTTGATTCTGGCATTCTGGGATTCCGTCACCAAACATGCCCTCTTGGAGGCAGCTCAGGCCCAAGACCCTGCTCTCTGCCCATCCCACACGGCACCCACCCACCCCCAGTTGACTGATCTGCGTGATGTTGCAGACATGGTGGAGTTGATGCTGATGCAGAACGCTCAGATGCACCAGATAATTATGCACAACATGATGCTGAAAGCCTTGCCTCCAACGGCCTTCTCTCCAGCCCTGGCCCCCGCTGCAGTGACCCCTGCACAGGTAGGAACCCTCCTGAATCCTTTTGCTCTCCCAATGGCCCTTGTCTCTCCTTGATCTCTCTCCACCACTCCCCCCACCCCATATAAAACCCACCACCTGCTTCCTCTAACCCCAGCCCACTCCTGGAATCTCAGCTCCACCTCCTGTCCTCATACTAAGACATTGTTAACCTCTCCCTGTGCACTCATACAGTTCCCACCCATTTCAAAACTGCTCTCCTCAAAAACCATTCCTCAACCCATCCCTGTTCCCTAAATCCCAGCCCATCTCTAACCTGCCTCTCATCTCCAAGGTGTGGGAAACGAGGCATTGTTTCTAACTTTTTCCAGCAGAATGTCAGCAAGACCAAGGCCCTCCTGCTTGGCTCCTATCAGCACCTCCACACTAAGGCACTGACAGCATCACCATCCATGAATGCACTCTACACCTCACTAAGCCAGTACAGAAACTTGCCATTTTGTTTGACCCTCAATTGTCCTTCAAACCCCATGACCTTCTCTGCTTTGTTGCCTGGCTCCGTCACTGCTTCTCCCCTCAGGTCACTGAAACCCTCATCCAGGCATTCATCACATCTAGGCTGAACTACGCTTGCTTATCAGACTTACCCATTCTTTGCGCCGGAAGCTCAGAACATTCAGAACTCTGCAGGTCGTGGCTCCATAACCCTATCATCATAATTTAGGCCCTTAACACCAGGAATTATTCTAGTAAATCCACATTGCTCACTCGCTAAGGTCAACATATCCTTCCTAAAGTCTGGTACCCAATACTGCACACAATAATCCAAAAGGAGCTTGATCAGCATTTTATTCAGCTGCAACATCAGTTCCTGACTCTTGTATTCCAGCCCCTTGTGCTCAATCCAACATAACCTTTTTGATTACCTTCTGTATCTGTGCACTGCTTTTTTAAGATTTATGAAGCTGAACATTTAAAAGCCTTTGCTCAATAACCTGCCAAGTATTTGTCTGTCAAGAATGTAATCCCACTCAACATTCTTAGGTCTACAGTGAACCACCTTGCACTTTTACACATTGAACTCTATTTGCCATAGTTCAACCCATTTTCTTAATCTGTTTCTACCCTCTGAGGTCCTTTCTTCTCCCTTTTCTCACCCCCACTTTCTCCCTCCTTCTCTCCCCCCCCTCTTTCTTCCCCTCCTCTACCCCCACCTTTCTTCCCTTTCCTCTACCCCCTCTTTCTTCCCCCTCCTCTCCCCCCTCTTTCTTCCCCCTCCTCTCCCCCCCTCTTTCTTCCCCCTCCTCTCTCCCCTCTTTCTTCCCCCTCCTCTCCCCCCCCTCTTTCTTCCCCCTCCTCTCCCCCCCTCTTTCTTCCCCCTCCTCTCCCCTCTCTTTCTTCCCCCTCCTCTCCCCCCCTCTTTCTTCCCCCACCTCTTCCCCCCTCTTTCTTCCCCCACCTCTTCCCCCCTCTTTCTCCCCCTCTCTCTCGTCCCCTCCCCCTCTCTCTCCTCCCTCGGTCTCTCACCCCCTCTCTCCATCGCCATCTATCACTCTCTTTCTCCCTCCTTTCTCTATCCCCCCCTCTCCTCTGTCCCTCTCTCCCCCCTTCTCCCTGTCTCTCCCCTTCTCCCTATCTCTCTCTTCCCGCCCCCTCTTGCCCACATCGCTCTCTCTGCCTCTCTCTCCCCCTCTCTCTACCATCCACTCTCTCTCCCTCTCACCCCCTCTCTTCCCCCATCCCCCACACTCTCACATGCCCCCTCGCTCTCCCCCCTCTCTCCCCCGTTCTCTCTCTGGCCCGCTCTCTCGCCCTCTTCTCACTCTCCCAATTATCTATTCCCCTCTCTTACCCCTCTCTCTCTCTGTTTTCCTCCCCACTCTCTCTCTGTCTCTCCCACCCCCCCCCCTCTCTGTCTCACCCCTCCCTCTCTCCCCTCCCTCTCTCTCCCCTCCCCCTCTTTCTCCCCCCCTCTCGCCTGCACCTTTACCCTCCCGCTCTCCCACCTCTTCCCCTCCCTCACCTCTTTCCCCCACCCTCCCTCCCTTTCTTTCTGTCTCCCCCCCTCTCTCTCCCAACCTCTCTCACCCCTCCCCCCCTCTCACCCCTACCCCTCTCTTGCTCTCACCCTGCTCTTTTCCCTTCTCCCTCTCTCTCCGACTTCTTCCCTCTGCTCACCCACACTTTCCTTATTTGGTGAGGACAAGTTTGCAGGGCTATGGGGAGAGAGTGGGGGAGTGGGATTGATTTGGGTAGCTCTTTTCAAAGACATGATGGGCCGAATGGCCTCTTTGTGTGCTGTATAATTCCATGGTTCTTTCCCACCATCCTCTCTCCCTCCCTCTCCCCGCTCTCTCCCCCGCTCTCTTCCCCCCTCTCTCTCCCCCCAACCCCTCTCTCCTCCCTCCCCCTCTATTCTCACCCCTCTTTACACCCCTCTCCCACTCTCTCCCTACCCCTTTCTTCTCACACTCCCAACTCTCCCTCCCCCATCTCTCTGCACCCTCTCTCTCCCCCCTCCCTCTCTCCCCCTTCTTCCTCTCTCACTTCCTCTCACTCACTCCCTCCCCCTTTTTCTCCCCCCTCTCTCCCATCCTCCCCCTCTCTCCCCCCTTTTTTCTCCCCCTTCTCTTTCTCCCCCCTCTCTGTCTCCCCCATTCTCCTGCCTCTGTCCCCCACCGATCCACCCCCTCTCCCCCCTCTATTTCTCTCTCTCACCCTCTCTCTCCTCCATTTTTCTCTCTCTCTCCTCCCCTTTCTCACCCCTCCTCTCAACCCCCCCCCATGTCTCTCCCCCCCTCCATCTCCCTCTCTTCCCCCTTTCTCTCTCCGTCTCTCCCCCCTCTCTCCTCCTCTCTCCCATCTTCTCTCTCCCCCTTTCTCTCTCCCCACCTCTCTTTCGCCTCTCTTTATCTATCACCCCATCTCCCGCTGTTCAACACTGTCGACCATTCCTCTCCAACTGTCTACACTTTGTCTCCACTAACAGCTTCTCATTCAACCCCCGCACCATCACATGTGGTGTCCCTCAGACTCTGTCCTTGGTCCCCTCCTTTTCAATTTTTACATGCTCCCCCTTGGTGACATCATGAGTAGACATGGGGTCACCTTCCACATGTATGCGGATGATACCCAACTCTACCTCTACCTCTCTGCCTCCATCCTCAACTCCAGGACCACTGTTGTCCTCAAAGACTGCCTCACAGACATCAAATCCTGGATGAGAGCTAACTTTCTCCAGTTGAACATCAACAAGACTGAGACCCTTCTGTTTGGCTCCCATCAGTACCTTCGTACCTCAGGCGCTGACAGCATCCTCCTTCAGGATGCACTCTATACTTCACAGAGCCAACACAGAACCTCAATGTCCTGATCGACCCTCAACTGTCCTTCATACCCCACCTCCGCAAAATTGCCCAGCTTCGTCACTGTCTCACAGCACGCCCCTGACACTCGTTCATGCGTTCATCACATTGAGGTTCGACTACGCAAACTCCCTGCTTGTCGGCTTCCCCAACTCCTCCTGCTACAGGCTGCAGATCATCCAGAGCTCTGCAGCCGGTGTCCTCTCCTGCACCAGTCCCTGCAATCCCATCAACCTCATCCTTGCTCAACTCCACTGGCTCCCCATCACTCAGAGGGTACATTTCAAGATCCTCAACTTCACAGCCCTCCAAGGCTTTGCTCCTACCTACTTCTGACCTCCTAATCCCCTACCAACCTGTCTGCTCCTTGTGCTCAGTGGGTTCCGGCCAGCTTCATGTCCCACGCCTTGTCCGCCCCACCATTGGCGGGCGGAACTTCAACTTCTGGCCCCATCCTCTGGAACTCCACCCCACAGTTCCTCCGCCATGCCTTGCCTTGCCTCCTTCAAAACTCTCCTCTTCGACCGTGCCTTCGATCACCCTTCTACCTCTACCCTCCCGCCCTCCACTACTCCTGATCCCAACCACCAGCTGAGGTGCGGGTTCCTGACTGTCCAGGTCTTGAGACATTCTCCCGATGTAAAAGGCGCTATACAAATGTAATTTCTTGCTGTTGTTTTGGGGGGAGGTGTGTGTATGTTTTATAGCGGGTAGGGGGGTGTTGTGGGAGCCTTTTTTTGTGTGTGCGTGTTTGTATGTGTATATATATTGCTTGTGTGTGCATGTTTTCTGCGTGTATGTTTTGGGTGTATGTTTTGAGTGTGTTTTGCGAGTGTGCTGGTGTTTTGCGGGGTATGGGGTGTTTATTGTGTGTGTGTGCGTTTTGCGGCCTGCATGTTTTGTGTGTGTGTAGGGAGGTATGGGAGTGTGTGTACAGGAGATGGTGTTGGGATATGTGTGTGTAAGGGGGGGGTTGGTGATGTCTATCTGTGTATAGGGATGTGGGCGTATACGTGAGCATACTGTAGGTGGATTTTGGGGGGTTGTGTATTTTGTGTGTGTGGATGACAACGTGTGTGTGTATGGATATGTTGGAGGTTGCGACGGGTATTGTGTGTGACTTGTGTTGGAGTGGGTGTATTTATTTTTTTAATAATAATAATAATAATCCTTACATTTGATATAGAGCTTTTCACGTCGGGAGGACGTCCCAAAGCGCTTCACAGAACACACTGTAAAGTGAATTGACTGTATATTTGTGGGCGAACGCGGCAGCCAATTGCGCACAGCAATGTCCCACAAACAGTCGTAGATTGAAAATGACCAATTTATTATTGTTTTTGGTTTTGGAGGGATTATTATTAGGCTCTGTGTGGAGTAAGGAAACTTGCCCAAGGTTTCGCCCTCTGCCTGGAATTGAACTCAGGTCTCTCGCTTGCAAAGCGAGTGCTCTAACCACTGAGCTACAGGACTCCCCTGGGGGGATACGTGTGGGGATTTTTGATGTATGTGTGTATATATGAGGAGTTTGGGGATGCATGTTAGTATGTATGTGGATTTTTTTGTTGGGGATGCGTGTTTTGCATGTATGTGTGTATGAGGGGGTATTGGGGTGCATGTTTGTATCAGGGGTATTGTATGTAAGTATGTGTATGTGTATAAAGGGGTATTCGGGTGTGTAGTGTATGAGTGTGTATGGATGTTTGTGAGTGGGTATGAGAGATGTATGTGTGTGTGTGTGTGTGTGCAAGAGGGGGTGTTAGTGTGTGTGTGGGGGCATGTTGAAGTGTGTGCATGAGGGGGTGTTGGGGTCTGTGTATGGAGGAGTGTTGGTGTGTGTTTGTATATGAGGGGGTCTTGGTGTGTGTATGAGGGAGGGGTGTTTGAAGGGGTGTTGGTGTGTGTGTCTGACAGGTTGGTAATGTGTGTGTGTGTATGAGGGAGTGTTGTGCGTGTATGAGGAGGTGTTGGGAGTCCGTGTGTATGAATGGTGCTGGGTTTGTTAATGGCATTAGCACTGCATTGCTAGCAGATAACTAATAAATGTCTGTTTACGGGAAAGGAATTTTGAGAGTGTATGAGAAACAGAATTTCTATTTACATTAATATAGAGCCCTTATGTTGGATGATGTGTCTGAAAGCCTTGCATAGCTGACTGTAACTTATTTGTAGACTGAAGGGTGGGAGGCAGGCAGATACTGACCAAAATAACCTGACTGCAAACAGATTTACCATTGAACCGTCTGGTGTATCTTATCAAATCCTCGGGTCCCAGACAATAATGTTGTGAAGCTGTCTGTTTAGCTTTGCCATGTTTGTGCTGAATCACATTTTAATGTGTTGACGTGCAAACAGAAAGCCGGTTTGCTCCCAAGCATGGAGGCATCACTAATTATCTTCCTTTAATAAGACTTATTTATTGCAAGTGTTTGAGGGACAGCTAGACTTCAGCCCTCACCAGCTGGGATTCACAAAAGGTCACCAGATCCTTAGAGCATCTGAGCTGTGAGCGCGTGATTTCATCAGCTTCCACTGGATGAATTTGCATTTGTTTCACTAAACTCAACGAGTCTAGTGACAGAGGACAGACAGTGCCTGATTCCCGGCCAGTGGAGACGATCGTGAGGACCGAGTGCTGAGAAGTAGGAATTAAAAAAAGGTGACAGAGATAGGAAGCAACAGCACAGACAGAATGGCCTCTTTGAGGTGCTGAATGATTCTGTGTTGGATGTTTCCCTTCCCCTGTCTCTCACACACTGGCCTCTGATGTTCTTTCCTGTGTGAGTACAGAGAGCACAGTGTATGTCAGTGCCTTGTGTGTACAGAGAGTACAGTGTGTCAGTGTTGTGTGTGTACAGAGAGCACAGTGTATGTCAGTGCCATGTGTGTACAGAGAATACTGTGTCAGTGCTGTGTGTATACAGAGAGTACAGTTGGTTGCTATAAGTGCCTCAGTTTGCTGGATTCTGGTAACTTCACTCGTGGCAGGTTAGTGCCCAGGAGCACTGGAGGCTAGTTATCTGCCCTAATGCATGCTCACATTTCACAGAGTGTTTCACAGAACACCTTGAAGTGCTTCACAGAATGAGATTGATTGGAAAGGAAGTGGTTGTTCTGGGCCCCACACTTTAGGAAGGATGTCAAAGGAGATTTTTCAGGATGGTACCAGGAGTGAGGGGCATCAGTTATCAGAGAGGAGAGAGAAGCGAGGATTATTCTCCTTGGAGCAGAGAAGGTTAAGAGGAGACTTAATAGAAGTTTTCAAAATTATGAGGGGATTCGATAGGGTGAAGAAGGAGAAACTATTTCCACTGGTGGGTTGGTCAGTAATCCGAGGACACCAATTTAAAATAGTTGTTAAAAGAAACAGAGCAGAGGAGAGGAGAAATGTTTTCACACTGCGAAAGGATGGTGAAAGCCGATTCGATAACAACTTTTAAGAGAGATGTAGATAATTATTTGGGGAGAACAAGTTTGCAGGGCTATGGGGAGAGAGTGGGGAGTGGGATTGAATTGGACAGCTCTTTTCAAAGAGCCGTCACAGACACGATGGCCCCTTTGTGTGCTGTATAATTCTATGTTTTTATGATTATGAAGCCAAACCCAGGACTTGTGTATGAATAGATTTAATTCAGGATATAGTTCATGATCCTGGCCCTCACCTTCAAAGCCCTCCATGGCCTTGTCCTCCCTACCTCTGTGACCTCCTAACCCCCTATCAATCTGGCCTGCTTCACGTCCCCGGCCCCACCATTGGTGGGAGGATCTTTAGCCTCTCTACCCGCACCTCTGGAACTCCATCCCGCAGTTCCTCGGTAACATAAGAACATAAGAATTAGGAGCAGGAGTAGGCCATTCAGCCCCTCGAGCCTGCCCCGCCATTCGATAAGATCATGGCTGATCTTCAGACCTAACTCTGATTACCTGCCCTATCCCCAAATCCCCTAATCCCTCTGTTTTTTAAAAATCTATCAGTCTCAGCCTTGAAGATGTTCTCCGCTCTAGTCTAACCCACTCTCCCCCCCTAGTCTAACCCACTCTCCCCCCCTAGTCTAACCCACTCTCCCCCCCCTAGTCTAACCCACTCCCCTCACCAGTCTAACCCACTCTCCCCCCTAGTCTAACCCACTCTCCCCCCCTAGTCTAACCCACTCCCCTCACCAGTCAAACCCACTCCCCCCCCTAGTCTAACCCACTCTCCCCCCCTAGTCTAACCCACTCTCCCCCCCTAGTCTAACCCACTCCCCTCACCAGTCTAACCCACTCTCCCACCTAGTCTAACCCACTCTCCCCCCTAGTCTAACCCACTCTCCCCCCCTAGTCTAACCCACTCCCCTCACCAGTCAAACCCACTCCCCCCCCCTAGTCTAACCCACTCTCCCCCTCTAGTCTAACCCGCTCTCCCCCCCTAGTCTAACCCACTCTCCCCCCCTAGTCTAACCCACTCTCCCCCCTATCTAACCCACTCTCCCCCCCTAGTCTAACCATCTCTCCCCCCTAGTCTAACCCACTCTCCCCCCCTAGTCTAATCCACTCCCCTCACCAGTCTAACCCACTCTCCCCCCTAGTCTAACCCACTCTCCCCCCTAGTCTAACCCACTCTCCCCCCCTAGTCTAACCCACTCCCCTCACCAGTCTAACCCACTCTCCCCCCTAGTCTAACCCGCTCTCCCCCTCTAGTCTAACCCACTCTCCCCCCTAATCTAACCCACTCTCCCCCCCTAATCTAACCCACTCTCCACCCCTAGTCTAACCCACTCTCCCCCCCTAGTCTAACCCACTCTCCCCCCTTAGTCTAACCCACTCTCCCCCCTAGTCTAACCCACTCTCCCCCCTAGTCTAACCCACTCTCCCCCCTAGTCTAACCCACTCCCCACCCCTAGTCTAACCCACTCCCCCCCTAGTCTAACCCACTCCCCTCACCAGTCAAACCCACTCCCCCCCCTAGTCTAACCCACTCCCCCCCTAATCTAACCCAATCTCCCCCCTAGTCTAACCCACTCTCCCCCCTAGTCTAACCCACTCTCCCCCCCTAGTCTAACCCACTCTCCCCCCCAGTCTAACCCACTCTCCCCCCCTAGTCTAACCCACTCTCCCCCCTAGTCTAACCCACTCTCCCCCCTAGTCTAACCCACTCTCCACCCCTAGTCTAACCCACTCCCCCCCTAGTCTAACCCACTCCCCCCCCTAGTCTAACCCACTCCCCTCACCAGTCAAACCCACTCCCCCCCCTAGTCTAACCCACTCTCCCCCCTAATCTAACCCAATCTCCCCCCCTAGTCTAACCCACTCTCCACCCCTAGTCTAACCCACTCTCCCCCCTAGTCTAACCCACTCTCCCCCCTAGTCTAACCCACTCCCCCCCCCCAGTCTAACCCACTCTCCCCCCAGCGTAACCCACTCCCCCCCAGTCAAACCCACTCCCCTCACCAGTCAAACCCACTCTCCCCACCTAGTCTAACCCGCTCTCCCCCCCTAGTCTAACCCACTCTCCCCCTAGTCTAACCCACTCTCCCCCCTAGTCTAACCCACTCTCCACCCCTAGTCTAACCCACTCCCCCCCCCAGCCTAACCCACTCCCCCCCCAGTCAAACCCACTCCCCTCACCAGTCAAACCCACTCTCCCCACCTAGTCTAACCCGCTCTCCCCCTCTAGTCTAACCCACTCTCCCCCCCTAGTCTAACCCACTCTCCCCCCCTAGTCTAACCCACTCTCCCCCCCTAGTCTAACCCACTCTCCCCCCCAGTCTAACCCACTCTCCCCCCCAGTCTAACCCACTCTCCCCCCCTAGTCTAACCCACTCTCCCCCCCAAGTCTAACCCACTCTCCCCCCTAGTCTAACCCACTCTCCCCCCTAGTCTAACCCACTCTCCTCCCCCCCAAGTCTAACCCACTCTCACCCCCAGTCTAACCCACTCTCCCCCCCAGTCTAACCCACTCTCCCCCTCAGTCTAACCCACTCCCCCCCCAGTCAAACCCACTCCCCCCCCCTAGTCTAACCCACTCTCCCCCCCTAGTCTAACCCATTCTCCACCCCAGTCTAACCCACTCCCTCCCACAGTCTAACCCACCCCAGTCTAACCCATTCTCCCCTCAATCCATGTCTAACCCCACTCTCCCCTCATTCCCCTCAGTCTAACCTCATTCCGTGCAGTCCTCACTCCCCCAGACTAATCGGACCCGCCCCTCACTTCCCCATTAACCCCATTCTACCCTCTTGCCCCCAGTCTACCTCCACTTCCCCCTAGTTCCCCCAGTCTAATCCCTCTCTCCCTATCTAACTCAACTTTCCCCTCGCTCTGCGCAATCTAACCCCACTCCACACCTCCCTCGTATTATCCCACTCTCCCCTCCCATCACCGTCTAACCCCTCTACCCTTGCTTTGCACAGTCTAACCCCACTCTCCTCAGTCTAACCTCACTCTCCCCTCTCTCCCACAATCTAACCGCACTCTCCCCCCAGTTTACCCACTCTCCCCTTGTCTAACCCACTCTCCCCTCGCTTCCCCTAATCTAACCCACTCGCCCCTCACTATACCCTTGCTACCTCAGTCTAACCCCACTCTCCCCTCACTCCCCCAGTCTTACCCCGGTGTCACCTCACTGCCCCAGTCTAATCCTACTCTCCCCTCACTCTCCCAGTCTAACCCCACTCTCCCCTCACTCCCCCAGTCTAATTCCATTCCCCACTCATGCCCCATTCTAACCCACTCTCCCCTTGCTGCCCTCAGTCTTACCCTACTCTCCCCGAGACTAACCTCACTCTCAACAACAACAACAACAAGATTCCATTTATAGAGCGCCTTTCACGTCGGGGGGACGTCCCAAGGCGCTGGACAGTTGGGTCAGGACCCGAGCGTTGGGGGGAAATGGTCAGGGTGAGGGGAGGGAAGGGAGGGAGCGAGGAGGGGGTAGAGAGTCGAGAGGGAGCTGAAGGCACGGTCAAAGAGAAAGGTCTTGAGACCGGCCTTGAAGGAGGAAAGGGAGGAAGCGGCGAAGGCACTGGGGGATGGAGTTCCAGAGCCTCGGGGCTGAGAGGCTGGAGGCCCGGCCACCGATGGTAGGGCGGTTGGGGCGGGGGATGTGGAGCAGACCGGAGCCAGAGGAACGGAGGGTACGGGCAGGTCTCTCGCTTTTGTATCAGAAGATTGGGGATTCATTAATAATAAAAGCCCCTGGTTGGGATTTGGAAACCACATGCTGACACTCCAGTGCAGTGCTGGGGGATCGCTGCATTGCCAGAGGTGCCATCCTTTGATGAGACATTAAACTGAGGTCCTGTCTGGCTAGTGGGTAGTTAAAGGTCCCATGGCACTATTAGAAAAAAGGGAATTTCTCTCAAGTGTTCTGGCTAACAATCCCCCAGATAAAATTGATCATTGATTTCATGGTTGTTTGTGAGATGTCGCTGCGTGCAAATTGGCTGTCGCATTTGCCCACAAAATATACAGTCACTACACCTTACAATATATGATGTGAAGCGCTTTGAGATGTCTCAACAAGGTGATTAGGCGCTGTATCAAATGCAAGCATGATTATACATTATACAGTGGAATGTGCCGGTTAACCCCAATTTAAAATAGTTGTTAAAAGAAACAGAGGGGAGGTGAGGAGAAATGTTTTCACACAGCGAGTTGTTCGGATCTGGAATGCATTGC